CTATAATATCATCATACGTTGGATGTGAATCATTATTGATAATCTGTTGTACGATTTCAATATTTACATCAATCAGATCGAGGGTCAACATTGATGTCTTCTCTTTCTTCATGAGAATGATTTGTCTATCTTGCTTCTGTTCGATACGATGGAGCGTTAGGTCCCAACACTGTTGTGAGTTCCTCGTGAATTGTCTTTGCATTAATTCCCCAAATAGTCCGAATTTTAATGTAATCAGCAATGTTGCTAGAACTTGTGATTACTTCCGAGTGCATATATATATATACTTGTGAGTACATTTACTGACTTGAATCTTACTAAATAATAGATGAATGAATTTTCTGAGTGGATTTCATGAATGCACTCGTTATATGTAATTTTTCTCATACGATATAATTTGTAAATAAGTCGTGTTTGATATAAGACTGTTAGAGTTTCAATAGTAGAGCTAATCATGATAGATATCATTTTAACATGGTTTATTACTATTGGTATCCTTATTTCTAGTTCAATCAAGACAGATTCATTCTATTAATACCTTGCGTTTTATCAATAAAAGTTCAGTATAAGAGACAATCAATATTGACATGCTTGACAGTATTGTTAGTGAAGCGTATTAGAAAAAGTAGGGGAATACTGCAACCATTTTGAATTGTTTATTAGTTTTACGGAAGGTGAACAAGATTGTTCCTATAAATAGTAATTTAAAACAGATTTATTTTCTGTCATTGCCTTTGTGAAAAATGAAAATCGTGGCTTATTTTTAGCGTGTCTTTTCTTTTTCTAACAAAAAAATGAACAAATACTGTAAACCAGTCGCTCAGTTATTCGTGTTTCTTAAATGCCATACGAATCACTTCAAACCTATGACCATTCGCGCCAAACAACCACAAAGATATTTAAGTGACGACAGATCGAACTGCCGTGCTGCAGTTGGCTTCAAACAGTTTCCCAATGACCATGAAAACATAATTTCATTCCATGGACTCAGAAAAGCTCGAGAAGTGTTAGAAGCAATTAGTTCAGTATACGTGCATTTCCATAACTTGGAACAAAAAGACTTGGTGACATACATGGATACTCTTTTCTTTGTCGAGAGTCTTATCTATTTGATCGATGAAAATAATGAAGGCCCATTTAACAATGATAGATTATTAAAATTTGACTTTTCGAATCTGTCTTGTGTCTCTGAACAGGAGTTTTTCGGTAACATAAATCGCAATCGTTCGCTATCAATTCTATATACATTTTTCAACAATCATGGTTTCTATGATTCTTACATAGACAATCAGTTACGCTGTGGTCTTTTATACTTTAAATTAGAACAGTGGTGCATTCGATGCGTATCAGATGCACATTTAAAATATCAATTAACCGAAGACATTATCCAGAAGTGTAATTCTCTTCGTTCCTTCGATTTTCGAATACTTCACTTATTACTATACCAATTAACAAGCAAGAAATATGATCAAAACATTCTAGATTTTTTCTATATTCGAGAAATACTTGGTGACACCATCGACGACTTCCTCGACTATGAAGAAGACATATTAAAAAATGCATTTAATGCTTATCGAATGTATGTTAATTTGTATGGAGAGAAAGAATCTGCTAAAGCTAAATTTACAAAATATTTTCTCGATATGCAAGATCAATATGGTAACATATATACAAAATTTAACATAAAATTTCCGCATTTGATGAAATTACAACGCGAATGTGATACTATACAGCTCATGTATGAAGAAACTCAATCGGAAGTATTTAAAGTCACTCCTACTTTAAGCATTCCAGAGCCTATTTATGACGAGAACAGTTTTAGAGAGAACTTTAAAACTACAAGCAACAATAGGATGAAACATGGTGTTCAAGAGAGTGCTAACGATAAAACATCTGCTCAGAATATCCGTCTTATATACGGTAAAAGAAATAACTAGACACTATCAAATAACGCTCGCATTCGATTGGTGACCTCTATAATTTTACCATGATGATTAAAGAACACTAAGACAGTTGCTAATAAAAATCAAATCCATGTCATAGAAATTCTTAGTTTCTTTCACTCAAAAAAAGTTCCTCTGTCAAAAATAGTCTTGCTGTCTATCTGTTTGTCCATTTTCTTCTTCTTCTTCTTCTTCTTCTTTACAACTAACTGTTTCTCTGTAGAATACTTGTGGTCCTTCTTTTTCATCAAGTCCTAGTCATTATCAAGCGTGCATCTACCATGTCAATTATAGGAGCTTTCTCTTTAAGACAAGGAGATTGAAAAAGCTGTAGGGTGAGTGCGACTGTGAGAACAGAGCTTCTCTTGACTATCTTCATGCTCAGATCCATTCACCCTAGATGAAGACTCCAACTCAGACCCGCGCCCATACCCACATGCGCACGCAGACACACATCCAGACGTACACCCATATCTTCTTTCAACATCCCAATCCGGCTTGTAGCCGATGAGGAACGCTGTATCTGAACCAATTTTAAGCCAACATATTCTCGGACTTCTTACTAGTAGTTGGTTTAGAAATTGACAAATTCTCATGAATGGACACATATCGGCAACTTTTCCCTCTTCTAAAATCATCCATGTGCATAAGTAGACTTCAAATCAATCAAGATAAACAAAAAGCACCCTTAATTATTTAGTGCGATAGCCTTCATCTGTCATCATACTTCACTGTAGAAAATTTGTTTTCATACGTTAACAAGCAAAGTATTGCGCAGATCAGTTAAGGCTTCTTTTAAATCAAAGATCTCCGAGAAGAATCAAACGAAAAAGCAAATAATTGATTATTTCTTATTCGTTAAGGGGAAATTAAAAAAAATGCTAGTACAAAGCTGCCTGATATACAAGGTAATTCTTGTGACTAAATGTCAAGCGCTTCTCCCCGTTCTATTAAAAAATATAACCAATTGACTCAATTTAGCATGCGCTACTAATTCACAATTGCTGACTAGAATCGGATGTGAATTGTGTATTCTGGAATTTTTCAACAACGGATCGACGAGTGATGATAGTTCAATCTTTCAACATGATTGTGCTCGAAACACAAATTCATTTCGACGTACTTCAAAATGATGCACTGATTTTTCGAATACGACTGATATTGGTTATGGTCTTTGTTCACCATTGCCCTATGAAACATTTGACATTTCTATTCTATGCATTTGTGTTACTGATCTTTGAAATGTAAATATGACTACTTGTCAAAAATCAATTAATAATCAATTTCAATCAAGTACTGGTGCACCATCTCCTCTTCCTACCATCTATCAGAATCTTACACAAACCATAAATTGTTCACAGACAACCATTGATTATACTGAATTTCTTTCGCTTTGCTTATTAGAAACTTCACCATTTTTTGATGCAGCTTTATGTCAATATTTACCTGATTGATACCACTGCACTCTGCGACTATTCGATGACATTGCCACTTAAATTAGTTTCCACATCAGCCTGGTCTATTGAAAACTATGAATATGAATTGGACTGAATCGTAGATATGATTCAAAATCATCAAAATGACTCCGATTTCATTGTCTATTACAACGTAACGAACGGAGCATTCTTTGTTGCTAGCACATACAGTACATCAGAAAATGAAATATATGCCGATGATCGCTATTTTTGTGCAGCAAACAATTGTAATCAGAAATTGACATTGGGTCTACAAGCCGAACTTCCATATAGTATGAAGAGTAAGTTCATAGTAAATAAAGTTGCAATAACTGTTGATCGTTGTTTATTTCTAGATACTGCCGAACAAAATGTATTGATTCAATCTTTCGCATTTATTCCATGGTTTATCATTGCCTTTTCCTCGATCATCTTTTATGTATAATGTGACACTTGTTTTCGATTCTTCTATAAGAAGTGAAATATATTCATCTATTCAGGCTGTAAGAATTTTGCATTATCGAAATAAAAATTACTTAAGAGAAGTTTGTTACTTGTTCGGGAGTCAAAATAAAAGTTGATCATATATGGAAAGAAATTCGAAGCTTGCCGAAAGAAATACTCCTCACTCGAAAACAAAAACCTTTTGTATTTGAATCCAACATAGTTTTCATCCTATTTGTGCCAGTTCCGAAGAAATCTTCTCACCTATGATGACTCTAACAGAAGTATAACTGGGATAGAGAATATTAAGATCAATTGGTAAAAAGTTCTCATACATATTCAAACAAGAAAACGTACGAATTTCGATGCAATTTTATCTACACCGATGATCTATTCGATAGATTGCTGTACTGACAGATGACACTGAGTGGTTGATCTATATCGACTCCTAGCACCATTGAATCTTCGAATTTTGTGGGCCAATATGACTTCTCGGACGGCGACAACATGTGACGATTGCGTTGATTTCACTAAAACTAACATCTGCTGATTCATTTCCAGTGAATAATTTCGCTCGGAATAATCAGCGGGTAGATTTTAGACAAGCTTCTTTGTCTTGTGTTCATCTAGAGTTTGATATTCATTTGATTTTTCTTGAATCGCTACTAATTGTGATGCATTTTGCGATTATTATTTTTGCAATGAAAGGCGATTTCTTTCTTATTCCGCCAAAAAAACATTGGTAACTATTGCTCTCTTTCTTCCTGACTCCGCACATCTAATAACACCTACACTTGTGATCATTTGTGAAGCCATGATTGCACACACCTGTCTATTACGAAAGCGATTAGAAATTTTTTTCAAACACTGAAAATTTGAGCTTGAGGGAGGATGAAAAGTGTTATTTTTTAAAGCTTCAAGTAGACTGCTATCTGGTAGGTATGAAAAACAAAACTAACTCAACAAGTGGATGGGTGTTGGTGACTGTTATAATCGAACATCGTTGTTTTACCGTTTTCTTTCTTCGACGAAAAAGCTTTTCGAACATCATGAGAAAGCAAAATGACTCATGTTTTTTTTTCATTTGTAGAATGGTATATAAATTGATGTAGGATCAATAGAGATGCTGTCACATAATCTTTTCGTTTCAAACATCAAAATGGTTGTTCTACGTTTTTTTGGTCTTCTCACACTGTTGACGGCTTTGGCAGTCGGTGCTAAGGACTCCGACTCAGTTGGTTATCCGATACCTATTCCTCGAAACATGAATCAGGTCGACTTTAGCCGAAGTATCATCGACTATTGGACTTCTCAGAGAAGAACAAATGCAAAACCAAAAGATGAAATAGCTTTAGGTACTTCAGGTTGGTATCAATCCGTTAGACGAAGCTCGAATGACTTACCACGTTCCACTCCTAGTGTTGCACCATCAATAAAAATCGATGCAACAGGATCTGCTCGATCCACAGGAACACTTACTCCGCCTCCGATGATAGGTAAAGTATTTTTTGTTATGAATGGAGCAGATTACGTATGCTCAGCCTCGGTTGTCACTGCCACAAATCGAAACACTGTTTTAACGGCTGGCCATTGTGTCTATAATACCAACACGAAAAAGTGGGCAACAAAATTCCTGTTTGTACCAGCGTATTCGAACGGATTGAGTCGTTATGGCAGCTGGACAGCACATCATTTCGCTGCATTGAACGGTTGGATGAATAATCATGATCACAATTATGATGTTGCTATAGCTGCTATGAATACCAATTCTCGTGGTCAACATATTCAAGATGTAACTGGCGCACTTGGCATGACTGCGAACTGGCCTAAAGAGGCAACGGTTTATGCTTTCGGCTATCCTGTAAGCTTGAGTGGTGGCAAATTAATGAGTAGATGCATGTCGAATTCATCTACGGTTTCGTTCGTGAGTGGTTTTGATGGCATAAAATTGCCATGCGGTATGACTGCGGGAGCTTCAGGTGGACCATGGATTCAAAACTTTAATACAACAACATTACAAGGCCGTCAAACATCGGTCAACAGTTTTTTTATGCCAAGTCATCCTGGCTACATGTTTGGACCTTATTTCAACACTGATATCTGGAATTTTTTTAAGTCTCATGAAAACGCGTGATTTGAGTGCAAGGGACAAACGTTTGATTATTTAATAAATAAGAGTGTGGAGTGTGGGTGTGAATGTGGGTGTAAGTGTTTCAGCGTTGATGCCACTAATACGAAGACCGACCTCCCGCACTCAATAGCATGCCTTCATCTATACCTACATCCACATCCATTCTGTCTATTGTAGCTATACAAGTGGAGTGTAATCTGATCTCATCATTTATTTCTGGATTGACAAAATATCGATATACAGTAGCTTGTCTGTATGCGGAAGAATATCGTAGAGGTATGATGGATGTGAGTGGAAGTACGGTGTGGCTGTGGGCATGGTTCTGGGGCACAATGAAGAGCCAGGAAAATATATCCCAGAATATTATTTTCCAGAATCCAACCATTTGCATAGATCCATGCATATGTGATATATGATTTTTTAAAATAGCGGTTCTCTCAGTTTTATGGAGCCACAAAAAATAGCTTGATAAGACTTTGGCCTAGAAACTGGTATAAATAAAGTCAAGCCGTTCGACAATATACCACAATATTCCACAAGCAAATGATATCAGAAAAGATTTGCTCACCTATGGGCTTTATGTTAAAAAAAACCGGTCGTAATCCAGTTGAAAATAGACTAGAAAAGAAAGAGTTTCTAGGCCGAAAACCCATCTGAAAACTCACCGTTCCGTATATTGCAAACCCTACAAAGAGATAATGTCCGATCGAGCTTAAATTTTGACCACATATACTTACATATATATCCTAATAATACTAGTAGCGCTAACTCATGAAACACTTCCTAGGCTTTTTCGAGGATCCTAAAGAACTCAGTTCTCTGGTCGTAAATTCTATTTTAGGCATTTTGTGCTACGCTTTGAAGGAAATCAAAGGTGATATTCGGAATCAGCTCGTCGGCCTACATCGAACCGTAGACATAAAATAATTTTTAAAGAAATTTTTCAGCCATTTTCCATGTAGACCCAGCCCAAAAACCTGCTGTTTCGCAGTGTGCAAACTCTACAATGAGGTAACATCCGATTGAGCTGAAATTTTTACCAGATTATCCTACATATGTACCTTAATGATGATAGTAGCGCCAACTCATCAAATATATCCTAGGCTATTTTAGAGATTTCCCAAAAACGTCAAGTTTTTGGTCGAAAATTTCATTTTTGGTATCCAAATTCCACTTTTGAGAACGATTAAGGCAAAATTCGGAATCAGTATATCAAACTGCATTGAATGATAGAAATCTCAAATTATACTTCAAAAAAGTTCATCAAAAAAATATGGGATTGGGTTCTACACGGATATTTCGTTAAAAAACGTTTTTTTTTAAATGCTTTTTCTTCTTCAATACGGTTTTCTAAGTAATATACTATCATTTCTGAGCAAAAGAAAATCGTTTTCACGCTAAAAAGTCGCATTGAGAGATGCTCAGGCGAAAGTTTCCTACTGTGCAGCAGTCTCTTAAAAGACTTGCACAATTTCGACAGCGTTTCGTGCTTTTTTGTAGGAACTGAGGGTTAACGATACTACTCTGTCTCTCTAATTAAAACAAGACTCTGCATGAAAGAACAAAGAGCCCGAGACGTATTTGTCTAATGTTTTCACACGCTGAATACAAAAGTCTGCTAAGAGTTTAAAGAATTTCATGTTGAATATTTAGTTGTAAAGGACAATAGAATAGCACAATAAAAATAAAAATAATGGTTAAAATTTTATTTCATCAAAATTTACATTAAAATTCGACGTTTCTATAAGCTAAAGTGGAAAGTGGTACGGTGTTTTTTCCGTTGCAAGACTCGAAATAAATTCTAATACATCTATATCTCGTCATCAACAACAAACGGATCATTACATGAACTAGGAAGGTTTTAATGCGGCCTGGCATGATCATAACCTTTACGAATTACTAATAAAAGAATCCTTGGTTATTAAAGGTTATGAAACACCACTTAATCTCACAACATACTCCGTCCCAATGATTGCATTTCCAGAAGGATTACCTCACCACTTAGTGTCTGACCCAAATGTTTCACATTAAAATTCTATCCATCAGAAACAAATCTAACGTCTCGATTCTATAAACAACAACAAAAACCCATAAACCGAAATTACATCAAACGCAAAAATAAATCGCATAGACGATGGATGTAAAGAATATACATAACTTTTTTCACAGCACCACTAACAAAGAAAAAAATAAAGAGAAATCTGGGCAAAAGAAACAACATTCTCATGCAGCCTATTCATAAATGCCTCCTTATCATCAAACTATTCGAATAACACAAGAAACATCCACTATCTCGTAAAGGATACGTCATCACTCTATACTCCGTACCAACAAGAAAAAACATTAAAACGAAACTCCACAAGCATAAAGAACAAACCAAAAGAAAAAAAGAAGACAGAACAAAAAAAAATAGAGAGCCATAATTTACACCAAAGAATCTACACAGTTGCTGATATCAATCATCGTGTCATATATGAGTGAAGAGCGTGCCAACTGTACCATTTGGGAAAAAAATAAACTTAATAATAAAGGAAAAGTTAGTGTCATATTTCATAGAGCAATGTCGAATATGTATAAGACGAATACTTTCCCAATACTTCCATGTACTGTGGTGAAGATTCACGATATTACAGCCAATTTCTACATGCTCCAACAGTCTTAGTGTATAAATTACTTCCACTTACAAAGTCATTCAGTACTTTGTTAGTAAAACTGTATTTTCTCTCGAACGGAAAAAGAGTTTTTCTTGATTTTTTTTGGATATTTATCTACTCTATGAGTTGAAGAAAGGATCAAATTTTTATCGATGACAGTTTAGTTTTCATTGAGTTATAGAAATGACAAAATTGAAAATCTCGTTCGACATTTAATGTGAAAACAATTTTTTTAACCTCTCATAAAATGTTTCTGTTAACAAAGTTTATGAGACAAAGTTTTTTTCGTGTCAAAGTGTTGGGATAAAGAAAAACTGATCTTCTTTCAGCAGTTGGCGTTAGAAGCTAGATATTTTACACTGTTGCTATGATATCTCATAAACTAAAAGAGATGGAAATCTGATGTTTTCAGAAATGAGTGATCGGTCATCTCTACATCTATGAAATAAAAAAAATTATGAAAATCGGTTGAGTGAAACGCAACTTATAGATGTTTTTCTTTGCAAGGTCCAACGATACAATTGGTGCGCTCTTTCATTTTTCTTTACGCCATATAAACAAAACCCAAACAGACGAGAAATACAGACAAAACGAAAGTTCTTGATAATGATCACTTGGATGATCGAAACGTCGAATTATAATATAAATTTTGATGAAATAAAATTTTAACCACTATTTTTATTTTTATTGTACTAGTTCAAAGATAGTTATTAGTAGAAGCCAAAGTCTTTCAAATATACTTTCTTCCTGATAAAAAAAGTGTTCTGACGGAATTCTGTGGTTGTCAGCAGCTGACAACATATTATATATACCTTCAACAGCCAAAGTCCAAAACGATATACTTTATGAGACGTAATTTCGTTCTTCAAAACTAGAATCCAATTAAAAATAAAAAAATACCCTTAGAATTAAAAAAAATGAATCATCAAATTCTTATTAGAATTTGAAAACTAACTTCAACTTCAAAGAAATTCTATATTGATAGTAACATATCCAATATTCATGTTTCATATATTTTGTCACAAATAGAAGTCTCTTAGAATTCTGTTCATTTTTTTCTATTCTAACCAGGTTCTTCAACATTAAAAGGATCACTCAGATCTTTTTCCATGTTTCTCAATCATCAAGACTTGTGCCGCTACAAAATTAAACAGAATTTTTGACACGTCACGATTCTATATAAGTATATAGTATTTGTATTTCACTAGCAACTAAAAATGCATAAGTGTACAAATTTCTGAATTCTATTTGGTAGGCATTCTGTAACTGCTTGATGTTGGTGGGAAAAAATTCAGATGTGGTTCTGTCGAGTTTGCATTCAAAAACTTTGCTTTTCTCGGGTTCAGACTCGCATTTTTGTGCACCTACAGTTCCCTATATCAAGCACAATAATATATAGGCTACTGTATATATAGTTCAGTTTGTTTGATCATCATTATACTTCAAAACCCTTGTGAAAGTTTCTTTTATCTCTACATTATTAAACAAACCATATGCTCTTCAATGTTGATTTGAAACAATATGCGTTATGTAAATCTTTTGTCTTTATCTTATCAGTACTCTTGCGCATGTCCACATCACTTTCAAATGATATTTTAGAGAAGACTAGGAAGATCAGAGTTAGTGAGTTTGCTAGTATATTTCAGTTTGTGAGTTGAAATTTTGTTTTTTGAAGGCTTTCAGTTATTATTTCAGATTGTTGACTTTGAATTGCAAATATGGATGCTAAATTCAGCAATAAAACGTTAAAAAGTGTCAGGTATGAGTCATCTGATGCAGTACACCTTGTCTGGATCAACCATACGAAACAATTAATAATTAACTCTATTTCTCTAGTCTACATAAAAATTCACAAGCTTCTCAATCTCGTTCAAAAATAATTTTTATATTGCTTGGTATTCTCATTGGACTTCTTGCTATTTCAACAGCTGTATTAGCAGTGATATTAGCTAAGAAAAGTCAAACAACAGAAAAAAACGGTATTATTCTTTGTTATTTTATATAAAAAGATCATACAATGAGAAAACGATTGTTTGTATTTTAGTGGATAACGAATTATGTACAACTCCATATTGTGTTAAAGCAGGTAAGTTTCTTGAAAAAAAAAGTGCATTATCGTTAGCTTTATATTTTAGCTAATTATTTAATTGAAAGTATGGATGAAAAAGTCGAACCATGCGAAGATTTTTATCATTTTGTCTGTGGCACATGGATTAAAAATTCTCGAATACCTGATGATGGTAACAGAAAAATATTGTAGATAGTTCACAAGTTTAAAAAAATCTTTCTAGCTGATGCAATAAGTACGTTCAATTTATTACGAACACAATTAGATTACAATGTTGTCGGTAGGATTAAATCTATGCCAATTTACATATAAATATTGTTTATATATAGATTTATTAACACCGCCACCTCGTAATGATACGAATGAACCTAATGCTATTACGAATGCTCGTATATTATATCATTCATGTATTAATGAACACAATATTGAAGACGAAGGCACTGATTTAATTCTTTCATTAATTAATCAAGAATTTGGTGGTTGGCCTATATTACAAGGTTCATCGTGGGATAATTCTACATTTAATATATTGCAGCTTTTACTTAAAATACGTCAATACAATAATGATATCATATTTGGTATAGGTACGTCAATAGATGAAAAAAATTCAAAAGAATATGATATTGGAGTAAGTACATAAAATTGATTCTCGTTATTTTCTAATGATTATGATAGATTGGTCAAAGTGATCTTGGCTTAGGTCAACGTGAATATTATTCTAATGAATCAAAAAATACTATTGCTTATCGACAATTTATGTATGATTTAGCAACAGCATTAGCAAGTGATACATCAATGATTGAAAAAGATGTCAATGATACATTTGAATTTGAAAAAGAAATCGCTAAAGTAATTCAAGTTGTTTTTTAAACGTTTATTTATTATATTTTATGTAGCATTATTGGACAAGTGATGAACGACGAGGTCGACCAAATGCAACAATTCGTACGACTATTGGCAATCTTGAGCTGTTATTAAATACTAGTGTTAGTTTGTTTTTGTTACTTTTTCTTTCCATAGTTTATTCTATTATATTCTTATTTTCATAGTTTAATTTCAGTGATTATTTATATTCAGCATATTTATGGGGTGGAGTAACTTTAGTTGATAATGATATCGTAACTGTAGGTGAACTTGAATATTTGTATAATGTTTCATCAATTATTGATCGAACCTCATCACGTACATTACAAAATTATGTCATATGGCGTTTTCTGATGCATCGAGTTGATAATATGCCAAAACGATTTCGAAGTATAAAAGAAAATTTTCAACATGTATTTCGAGGTACGACAGCTGAAAAATCACGTACGATTATTTGTGGAAATTATGTTAATGGTAATATGGGATTTGCTGTTTCAAAACTTTATATTCAAAAATATTTTTATGATAATGCTCGAAATCAAGTAACATAAAAATTTCTTTATTTGTTTTTATTATGCATTTTTTTAACTTTTAAGTCATTTGAAATGATTAGTAATATTCGAAAAGCATTTATTGATATGCTTGAACAATCTCAATGGATGGATGAAACGTCAAAAAATAAAGCCATAGAAAAAGTAAGATTGATTAAAAGAAAACTCAAAATCGAAATGAAATCTGACTTGTAGGCTCAAGCTATCGATGAAAAAATTGGATATCCGGATTATTTGGCTAGTGATAATGTGACACAACTTGAAACAGAATATGCCGAGGTGAGCAATGTCTTGAAAGATAAAAATTTGTACAATCCACTTTTTTTCGTTAATTTTCTTATCTATCATATTTTTGTATTATTTAGTATATATTCAGTTCATCGTATATAAGTAATGTTTTGAAATTACTTAAAATAAGAGCGACAGCAGATTTTCGAGTTCTTCGAAAACAAGTTAATCGTAAAGCATGGGGTTTTAGTGCACCCACTGTTGTGAATGCTTTTTATGCACCATCAAAAAATCAAATAAGTATGTTTTTATTGTCTCTTTTATCATATTTTATTTTATTTGTTCTTTGTTTTTCTTATGTTTAGCTTTTCCAGCTGGTATTCTCCAAATGCCATTTTTTGATAGAGATGCACCAAAGTAAAAATCACTATTTACTATAGATTTTAATCATATTTAAATCTTTTAGATACCTTAATTATGGTGGTAAGTATATTTTTTTGTAGTAATTTTGACATCCCGATTACTGATTATTCACTTAAATTAATGAAAATATTCAAAAGTTTGATAATTATTTATTATTTAGGAATTGGGGTAGTTATTGGACATGAGATTACTCATGGATTTGATAATAGTGGTCGTCAATTTGATAAAGATGGAAATCGAATTCCATGGTGGACTGATGAAACAATACAAGAATTTAATAATCGTAAAACATGTATTGTTAATCAGTATAGTAATTATACTGTACCACAGAGTAATATCAAGGTTATAGTTCTTAATCTTGACTTATTTTATTCTTTTTTTTTTTGTATTTAATAATTTATTCTTTAGGCAAATGGAAATAAAACACAAGGTGAAGACATTGCTGATAATGGTGGATTGCGTGAAGCGTTTTTTGTTAGTAGATTAAATTCGATCATTATTAGAACGAAAAACAGAAATATATGCATATATTATAGGCTTATCAAAAATGGGCAAAAGCTAATCCAAATACTGATCAAAAACTCCCAGGTCTTTCAAAATATACACCTGAGCAAATGTTTTTTATTAATTATGCTCATACATGGTGTTCAAAAATGACTGATTCATATACACAGAATCGTGTTTTATCAGATGTTCATTCATTAGGACAATTTAGGTAAATAGTTTGTTTTATAGTTTTGAATTCTATAAAACTTATTTACTTATTTTCATAGAGTTATTGGTCCAACATCAAATTTTGTTGAATTCGATCGAGTATTTAATTGTCGACCTGGTCAAGGAAATAGTCGAGTACAAAAATGTATTGTATGGTAGTGAAATTTTTTTTTACTTTTCAAATCGAATATTGTTCTTTTCTTTTTTTAATAAATACAAAAAAAATTTTTTAAACAATTAAAAATAAAATATCATAAGTTATATTTTCCAATGATAAATAAATTGAATGAGAACGATACCATTTTGTCTTATTTATGTTAAAAACGATAAGTTTTCGTCTTTCGATGTTTTATTTTGATGTAAAATGTTTCTATCAGTTTTTATTTTAATCACGTATACAACAGCAAGTCAAGTGTATATTCAAGGAATCGAACTTCTTTCTAATACTAATTATAATCAAGGTGTGGGTGTGAGTGTGTTGCTGTGAGTGCAATTGTAGGTTTGCTTTTGTAAACACCATACACCCACATCCACCATAGTCAGTCAACTTTATCTACTTACAATTTTTTAATTGCTGATGGACAAAGTAAAGGTATGCCATGGTCAATAGAAGATAAACATTTTATAATGTTTCAAGATGGTTGTTTACAAATTGTAGTAAATGGATATCATGAATACGGAGGTCAATAGATACCTACTTGATGTACTATGGGTTCATCTTCTTATACAACAAGATATTGAAATTACAGGTGGTTCTGTACTATTGAGTTAAGTTAATGAATTACGATGAAATTTAGACGTTCAATATTTATATATAAATCATTATATTCAACCAGGTTATGATCCTAATCTTCATGCTGGTATTTTTCCGCTTTATATGACTATTCAAAATTTACAACAACGAGATCTAGAATTTGGTAAATAGTTTGGTTAGGTATTTGTTTATGTGATGATCATGTTCTTATGAGTCCTTTATATGTGAATGGTGATAAAGGTATTGGTTCATTAATATATTCATCAACTTGTTCACATTTGACTAATATTTCAATTCATTCTGAACGTATTGTACATGTTACTGGCGATATGATGTCATTTGATCGATTACGACGTCAAGCAGCTGTTGAACATGAATTTTTAAATTCAAATGATCTCAATAAATATTTTGTTGGAGGAATGAATATTGGTTAGGAAGTAACTAGTTTGGATAATTGAACAATTGAAATAGGAAATCTTAGTTTAAAACAATATACAACACAAAATTCAAAATCTTATGAATTTAATTGTGATGGTGATACAGACGGATGGAAATAAACATCTAATTTAGATCAATATACAAACAGTCTATTGAATGGCATATGGACTTTATCATGAATAAGTAATAGTCTTTAATTATTAAGTTCTATACTTATAATTGATACATTGAAAATAAAGAAAATAATTATTAAAATGACGAATGATTATTTTCAATTATTTTGGAATACAAATAATGAAAGATTATTTGATGATATTAATAGTATTTTGATTCAAATGAAGGATGACGAAAAATAGAAAGAATATATATTAGATTTGTCGAATAATTTGAAATGGAATAGTATTATACGTCAGTTTCGAATTGATTTTGTACAGAAAACACAAAATATTAAAGTTGATATTGATTATATTCGATTTGCTGCTTGGTGATCATCTATTTACGATAATAAAAACAGATTTTCGTAATTTAACTATCATAGAATATTGGAATTTCCTTTTTTCATTCTTCAAGGTTAAAATAGAATCTCGGTAATAAAGTGTTGATATTTCTCTCTATTTCACGTTCATTCTATTTCAAACATTTTTCTATATCTTTTCAATTTTTCATTCGCAAGGTTTCTGTCACTTTCAAAGAAAATTCTCGGAACTTTTCAGACGTTATTTTATAGAAAAAATAAACAACATCATAATTGAAAAGAGATGCATATGAATAAGACTTCTAAGTTGTTGCTTGATGTCTTCTTTTATCTGTCATTTTTAAGGTTTGAAAGCATCATTACTTTGGACTTATCTTCTTATTACATAAAAGTAAAATTGTTTCGAATATGCAAAAGGCATAATTACTTTTCTGTTTAACATTTTTTCTACAATTGTTGTCATATGAAATTTTACTTGGAAGTTTGCTTATGACAGAAACACATCATAGAGTGCTTTTCATTCAAACTTCAAATTAACATGAAATTAGTGGATGATTAAATCTAATCTTCAAGTGTCACATTTTCTCTCAATACAAAGATTATTGAAAAAAAATGACGCCATAATAAATAAAAAGCTATGCTACCAATGTCAAAAATCTTATTATATAACAAGCTTTGGCAATTATCAATAAGCATTATGGAATAAAACTATTACTCATTTAGACTATCATATGTATTGTATAGTATGCATGAAAAAAATAGTTGAATGTGCTCTAGAAAACTGACATTGAGTAAAAATTTTTCTTTTGATTTTTACAAGATTTTCCTATGAATACAATTACGATCATAAATTAATCTTAATTAAACTATTTTTAGTCTCTATTTAATCTGTTTCAATTCCATATACTGATTATTTTACAATAATAAAACAAATTGATAATGCGATGGTTATTTTTAGCAAGCTTTCTATTCTCATATAGACAAAACATTTGAGAAAAAAACACGCATTTAAACATTCAATTATTACTTTTATTTATTCATGTGGACACTTTATTCCATGAAATATTTTCATGTTTGAGAAATTAGTTTCAATTCACTTGAATTCTACGTAGCAATATCGAAGTATGAATGAATGTCTATTAGAAAAATTCAAAAGAGAAGAATCTTAGTCATTTTAAAAGCCATATACTATTTTATATGAAAATGACAAATAATTTGCATCTCTAAGCTTTACATTTGTTGACATCGACAACTAAACAAAAGAGTTCATTAAATAAATGACGAAGAGAGAACGTAAGTATTTCAGTTGATGATAAAGTGCTTCAGAAGAAAAACAACTCAGGCTTAGTTATACTTTATAACTGAAGATTTTAAAATCTTTTTAAAACTTAATCTATCTATAAAAGTATTTCAAATTCATAATACATCTCAATCAATCATTTGTTTTTTGTGAATTTCTTCAATATTTACATGAAATGATTATATAATCTAATCAGATCTGTCATAAAATTTATGATTAAGAAGTATTAAAATTGAGCCTTTCTTTTGTCTTACTAATCATAGGGCATAAAAATGTCAGCGACGGTCTGTAATCAAGATAAAATTAACAGCACAGATAAAGTTTCGAATCCTTCCTTCACACACATATCGCATATATTATAATCAGTACTATCTTTTCATTACATGTTGCATATTGATAATTCTAAATGATCCACAAATCCTTGGTTTGCAGTGCAATCCGTTCTATTGCATTTGACATTGAAAAAAAAAAAGAATTTCGCATATATTTTTCTGATAGGTTATTGTTATTAATTTTCTTTTACTATAATAATGCGCTTTTCGTGCCAATCCAATCGTAAAATGACTCGAAATGTAAGTAGATAGAAAAGCATATTTTATGCGAACATACATCAACAAAGTTTCAAGTGCATCTTAAATTATTTAGATTTAATAAACTATTCAGGCTTTAGCCGACAGCATACTTTTGATATAAGAAAAACTTATATCTAAAAAAGTACATTATGGATATTAAATATAGTCTAATAAGTGAGTTTATTTTTTAATTTAATGTTTGAAAAGTTTTATATTTAAGAATAATTTGACGTTTGCGTCATTAAAAAAATTTATTTTCATAGGAAAAAAAAGAATAATACTTCTTATATATTATTAAAAATGGAAGGTAAGTACAATGAAGTCTAGATTGTTATTGTGTCTGTTTTCGAACAGTTTCTATACACTAATTAAAAGAATGACAAATCGTAGACTGTTGTTTTCTCACATTAGTGTATACATTATCAGATACTAAAAATTTTATAGTGAATGCAATGAATGCTATCCTGTTAGTTTTTTTCTTAATATATGTCGAGCTTTGACATGCTGCGTATTTCTCTAATTTGTTTATTCAAAATACCAAGTTTCATAGATGATCAAATATTAATCTCTTCAATGTATTTTAGATTAGATTGCATGTCAAAGACTCATTCGACAGTTATAAAATCATTCAACCATTGCTTCATCTTGTCAAAAGAATTTTTTTTTTGTTTTGAAAGACGACCGTTTTTGAAAATTTTCCAAATGCAGGAATAAAATAATTATGATAGTAGGCGACCGTTTCCGAGAAATATGACGATTTTCTTGATTCCGAATTACGATCGTATATCTCGAGTTTATATACAAAGAAAGATGATGACTTACGCAGAAAAAAATGCTCGCTTGGTATTTGTATAAATAAAGATCATATATAGTATCATTTTAGCTTCATATTTGTTCTTAGATGATTCTATTACTGCGTATGCAGCACAGAGACATACTCTTATAAAACTCAGCTATGTGAAACGTCAAAATACGATCAGAGAAGATTCAACAACATTATTTACGAGTGTAAAAAGATTTTAGATTTTGCCTTCTGAATGTAAGCATCCAATGCAAGTCATGAGAAATTAGTGTGAGGGAATACATATATGTTAGAATACAGAAAAGATATGACTCTTTGTGGAATTCGGACTACACACCTTTTGTGATCCGAGCAAATATTCAAAATCAATTAAATTAGAAGGAACATCTTAACATTCGTTTAGCATCGAAGTGTATCATTACTGACGCAAACACTGAGCAAACGTCGTGACCATTCTTTCATTTTCATGAGGTTAACTAAAGTGAGTAGGATATAAACAGATTTTTTTCAAATACAAAAAAAAAACAGTTGTAATCATTCATTTTTATAGATTCAGCAGTAATCTTAAAAGAAAAGCTATACTTCATGGAGACACTAGTACAATCCTCAAATCTAGTGAAAATATTAGCACCAATTCACTCCGTCGTAGGATGGTGTAAAATTTCGACTTGCGAGTCTTCATTATAAGTATTGTTGTTTTGAATCAATGCGTATTTATGATATGGTTTTTATCTATTTTATATACATATTTTATTCTTTACTCCATTAATATCTTCTTGTTCATGGCTTTGCAAAAAAAAATATAGATAAATATTATAAGAAAACTTTTTTAGAACTGTCAGATTGAAAGCCAAAAGTAGAAAATAAATTCAGACATGTTTCTAACTCAAATTTATCAAGTAAATATGTAAAAAAAAAATTTTTTTTTTGTACAATTTTTTAGTTATAAAGTTCCTGTACTTTTATCAATGATATTTATCAAATTGACATTGTTAAAAAAAAATAACAATATTCTAATTTTAGAAACACTAGATAAGTCGTGCAAAGTGATTCTAATTTAACGGCTCCTTGCTTTTTTAAAATAATGAGTATACATGGTAAAAAATGCTTTCCTCGCCTAAGGCATTATGTTGATTCTATTAACAAAAAAACATTAATGAGAATTTCCTAATGTCTAAGATGTCTCATTATATTGCTAAAATTGCATATCTTTATAATTTCATCTATAGTCTCATAAAAAATAAGTGTGCATATAGTTTATTTCATTGTGTTTCTTGAACATCATCATATGATAATTATACTACATAATACATATAGGAATTAATAGCCTAGAATGCATTGATTTCGATTTTTACTTATGAAGAAAAAAAGAATTATTGATGTCTGCTTGCTTTAAAAAGTATATTTAAGTACTTGACATTTTTCTTGTAAATTCTTGACTTCTATGGCAAAGGAACACTTTTTTGTTCTTTTAGAATAATTATTTATTCGTACTATTCTTAAATGGGTGGATCATGTTCGGCTTGTTGTGCATCTGTTGTATTACCAGCAAATGTTTCATTCGATGAATTACCAGTTTCAACTACTACATCGATCACTCATAAATCAACACGCATTATTGAAAATTGTCTTATTATTTGGCTTTTTGATGATCCTTCAAATAAATTTGAAAATGAAAAAAAACAATTGAGTCGTCTCATTTATGGATTTCAAATATTTACTAATCCTGATACATGTATTAATTATATAAGAGATATTCAAGATGAAAAAATTTTTCTTATTATATCTGTAACATATCAATATGTTCAATATATTCATGATTTACCACAACTTGAAAAAGTCTATGTATTTGATTCATTGTCTTACGATAATCAACATCATACTTTACAAAATAATACTTTTCATGATATTAATAATCTTTGTAAACAATTACAATATGATATTGAACTATGTGAATTTGATTTAATGTATTTTTCTGCTATATCAAATTCATCACATGATATTAACTCATCAATGATTCTACCTAAAGAAGAAGCATCATTTGTTTTTATACAACTTACAAATGAAATAATAGCTCGTCTAAAATTTGAAAGTTGTGCTAAAGATGTATGCATAGATTTTTGTCGAAAACAATATAAAAATAATCCTGAACAATTACGTAATATTGATGAATTTGCAAAACATTATCGACCAAATTTAGCACTTGATTGGTTAAAAAGACCATGTTTTATTTCGAAAATATTAAATCGTGTAAAACGTACACGTGAAATTGATATTATTTATAAACTTGGCTTCTTTATCAAACATCTTAATATGCAACTAGTACGTTTACATGACGAGAATGAATTACTAATGAAAAATATTTCAACTGTCTATCGTGGTAAAACTATGGTGCCACAGGAATTCAACATATTATTAAAGAATAATTGTGATGGTCTTTTATCATTTTCTAATTTTCTTGTAACTAATATGAATAAGGAAAATGCTATTGATTTTATTCATCGCCGACTTGCAATGCATCCTGATATGATTGGAATTATTTTCGAAATACATATTGATCATATGATATTCAATGAAGAAGCTCCATTTGCTTTACTTAAAGGTAATTCTACGAAAAATTATGAGGTCTGTTTTAGTGCAGGCACTGTTTTTCGAATTGAATCAATCAAGCAATTTACCGATGGACCATTAATGACGTCACTTGTAAAGTTAAAATTAATTAGAAATGATGATTCACAACTGGATCGTCTCTTGAAACCTTTTCGAACGAGTGAACTACATGAAAATCCACTTTCATATTTAGGCAAACTACTTATGGATATGGGAGAATATACACGTGCTGAACAATGCTTTCTCGAAATGTTAAATGATACCTCTATTCTAAGTCAACCACGTCGTCTCGTACGTGTTCATAATGGACTTGGTGCTAATTATGTACATAAAGGCGACTATGCCGCAGCAACAGAACATTATAAACAAGCACTTCGAGTAAGCTTAACATATTTATCACCAGATCATAGTGAACTTGCTCCCATGTACAAAAATATTGGTGATTGTTATTTAAATCAAAATAATTATAGTAATGCTTTACCAAATTACGAACAAGCAATCAGTTTAATAGAGAACAATATAAAGTCGCCAAAAGCTCACATTATTACTGAATTAGGAATTCTTGTCAATAAAACAAAGCAGTTAATCGAAAAAAACAAATAACTATTGTTGACATTGTTATACAGTGTTAATTAAACGATCTTCAACCGCGTGTATGTTATCTTGATGGATTACGATGTATTTTGAAATTGTAGAACTGTTTTCATTAAATAAAAATATTGTACATATTATTGAATTTCGCTTTATTTTTAATTTACAAGGAAATCTTTCCAAGTGTCAAATCATTTTTCGACCGAGACAATGTTCCTTTGATGAGTACAAGTGAGAAACAAAAAAAAAAGTTTAGAATGGTTTGATTTTTCAGGCCTTCGTTCTTGACTTATCGAAAATTTACGAAGTTTTTTGAAAAAACAAGCTGTGAAAAATTGACTTTCGAGTTTCTGCTTCAAGCTTTGTATAAACAAAGTTCTCAAGGAGATTAGTTCATTGAGAAAGTTGTAACTTTTCTAATATCTTCTATTCTGATATATTGAATATTATAAATTCTCTCATGTGTAAAAGCAAATTGTTTTCATATATTTACATTTCCAAAAAGGAAATACTAGTTACACAATCAACTAATCTCATTAAGAACTTTGTTCATGAAAAGTTTGAAGTTGAAATTCGAAAGTCGATTTTTCATGTGAGCGCAGCTTTGTATTGAAAAAGTCAACAAAAATTTCGATATCTCGAGAACAAAGGTCTGAAAAACCAAACCATTCTTGTCTTTTCTATTACTCACTAGTACATATCAAATAAACATTGTCTCAATAGAAAAGCGATTTGATAAATGAAGAAGTTCCCTCGTTAGTAAAATTAATGATATGTTTAATAATAATTTTTTTTTTTTTTATGAATGAACAGTAAATTATTTTCATTTTTATATCCTTAGTGTTCTAAATTGATTTAAAAGCTTTCTCCTCTAAGAATTAAAGTAGACGAACAATTTGTTGCTTAATATTGATAATAAACTATTGTGCATATAATTGAACAATCATCGATCGGTTTATTAATATTGCATTCATTATCTGAAGTTTTACTTATATTAGATAGTTGATAATTCAATATTAAAGTCTGTTTGAGACAATCTAAACTGCTTTGTTAGTAGAGAATTCATGAATATTGCATCCTGGACACTGTATCCAAGATGTTTTCTTGCCAGCTGGGGTTTTATTAGAATTTTGAGCAACCAAAACATGATAGAATTGTTTTCAAGTACATTCAATTTGGACATAAATGCTGTTCTTTTACCTAACCATCTTGTCTATTGACATTGTGAGATAAGGATAACAGACCTCATAACGATCTTGTTTCATTTACATTTATCTTAAAAAAATGTCAGTCATCTAACACGAAGAGTTTCGTCGTGAACATCCTGGTTGGATGTTTTTGGAAAATATAGGTGATAGTCAAGTATCTACATCAGTAATTAATTCTATTTTAACATATTATTCAAGATCATATGTATAAGTTAGTATTGAATATGAACAATCGAACGAAGCAACACATATTATAAAAGCTGCTGATGATTTTTGTCGTGAAATGATGAATTGTAATGGAATTGGTGAAGTTGTTCTTGGTTCAAGTACTACTCAGTTAATTCATACATCAGCTCATGCATTTGATAAACTAATTATAAGTATAAATGATGAAATTATTTTGACGAATATTGCACATAAAAGCAAACTATGATGCTTGGACAAAATTACATGGAAAAATTATCGAATGGCAAGCACAGGAGCGAGTTGATCTTGATGATTTTTCAGCTCTGTTATCAGAACGTACGTGAATTGTAGCAATACCACATGTTAGAAATCTTATTGGTGAAATTCTTGATATTGAACCTATTGTAAAACTCGTTCATCGAAAATGTCCTCGTGCATATATTATTGTTGATAGTGTAGCTTATGCACCTCATCAAGTTATTGATGTTCCTCAATTGAATGTTGAATTTTATGCATTTAGTCTTTATAAAGTAAGTTATATATAATATTATATGATCTATTTATTTGAAAATCTCAGTTAAAATTTGATTAAAAATAATTTGTATTGTATTTTTTCTTTAAATAGGTTTATGGTCCTTATATGGCTATTTTATACAGTTCAAATGTTGCTTGGCAAGAGCTTGTTGGTATATCTGCTAGACCCAATCATTTCTTTAAGCCATAATCGGATATTTCATATCAATATGACATTGGATGTCTTAATCATGAAACATGTGCAGGTATTTTAGATGTTAAATCTTTTTTTTTTGAACGAGTAACCAAGACTCCTAAAGATCAACTAATAAGAAAAACCATTGAACAAGTATACAATGCATTTGCTGATTTTGAACGTCCAATTATTGGACGACTTTTTCAGTATCTTTCTACAAAATCTGATATTACCATTCTTGGTCCACCCTTCACTACAAATCGATTACCGACTTTCAATTTTATTTCATCTCGTCTATCTTCAAATAAAATTGTCAAATAACTTCATAAACATAAAATATCTTGTCGCAATGTACATATCTATGTTTATCGATTAGTAGCTGCTTTAGGATTAGATATTAATGATAGTGTTGTTCTTCTTTCTGCGATACATTATAATATAATAGCTGAAATCGAACAATGCATACAAATATTTGATGCTATTTTATCAAATTCGGATACTGAGACAAAGGCAACCAGTCAAAACTGACTAAATTAATTCATTTGTTGTAATTAATGACACTTCAATAAGAAACAAAAATCAATTTTGCCGTCTTATTCATGTGAATTTTAGTAACAATGTATTTGATTTTAATGTAGCGATAAAATTTTAGAATATTATCCAGAAAAAGATGTAGAAAAACATGATCTTTATTTTGATGGATATAATCTTTATAAAATATTCTCTAATATTTTGGGACAGTAGATTGCTTCTTACTACTGTACTATCGCTTACATGGCAATATCAAAGAAAGTATGAATATGTTATATAATAACTCGAAACACTATATATAACTTGTCATCCATAAATATCATTATTAGAATCACTGTTAACAAATAGTTCTATGTAGACACTAAGCTAAATAGGATTACAAAATGAATTAAGAATAGTAGTATAGAATACGTTGCTTGATAAACTTATCTTATTCTGACTGAACGTATGAGAAAAAGTCAAGGTAGCTGAATTTACAGTAGTATTCATTGTTCTACTGACTGAATCTATCAGAAGGATCGAAATGAAAAAAATAAAATCCACTATATACTAACGAAGTTAACGACCTGATTTATTTCGATAGTGAAATATTGTAACTAGGAGTGGCACTTTAACTTTACTTTAAAAGTTAAAGTTAAAGTAAAATACTTTAAAACTTTAAACTTTAATTAAAGTGAAACGCGTTAAAACTTTAACTTTAAAAAAAAGTTAAAGTTAAAGTGCTCGTGCCATAGGTAAGAAACGACCATGCCTAGTTCTTGGGTCCTCGTCTAACTACCCTAGCGGGGGTACTTGAGTCCTCCTATGGCTATCATAGGCGGGATATTTGGGTCCTTATAGGGCTACCCTATGAGAGATACGTTGGTTCTCATATAGCTATCTTAGCGGGGATACTCGGGTCCTCGTATGGCTATCATAGGAGAGGTACTTGGGTCCTCATATGGCTATCCTAGTGGGGATACTTGGGTCCTCAAGAGCTATACTATAGGGATACCCTTAGGTCCTCAAGTGCTATACTATAGGGGTATCCTTCGGTCCTCAAGGCCTCTACTATGGGGTACCCTTAGGTCCTCAAGTACCATACTATGAAGGTATCTTTAGGTCCTCAAGAGCTATACTACGGGGGTAATCTTAGGCTTTCGGGGCCTATACTATAGGGTATGCTATAGGCCTTGAAGACCTAAGGGTAATATTATAGTATAAGGCCTTGAGACCTAAGGCTATCCTTATAGTATGGCACTTGAGGACCCAAGTATCCCCACTAGGATAGCCATACGAGGACCCAAGTACCTCTCATAGGATAACCATATAAAAACCCAAGTACCCCCGCTAGGGTAGCTAGACGAGGACCCAAGAACTCAGCATGGTCATTTCTTACCCATGGCACAAGCACTTTCACGTTAACTTTAAAAAAAGTTAAAGTGTTAAAATTTTTAACTTACTTTAACTAAAGTTGAAAGTTTTAAAGTGTTTTACTTTAAACTTTAATACTTTTTTAAAGTGTTTTTAAAGTTAAAGTGCCACCCCTAATTGTAACATTGATTTCAGTACAGTCGTTGTCATTCCGAAAGTCATCAATATACTTAACAAGGCTAAATATTAAAACCATAGTGATATTAAATAATGCATAAAATGCACAATATTATATAAAAATACTCACTAATATTTCCTATGAATAAAAATAGTAGAATCTTTTATTTTTAATGATTGAACATCATTTGGAATAGTAAATATTTGTATGAATTCTAAAAGTCAGACCGATGTTATAGCATCTTGAAAAGAAATGCTTGCATGTCCTTTGGTCAATATCAATGAAATTCTATTAGATAGAATGAATACATATGTATCATTTGTAAAAAGTCTATCTTCAAAGAAAAACGTTTGTCATTCATGATAGATTAAATAATCAAGTCGATAAAAATTCTTATTCGAATATTTGTTACCAAAATTCATTATGTGATATAATGTATTCTCCATTAAACATTATATCATTTAATTGATCGAGTGAACTGCAAAGAAAACAATCTGGCGACAATATAATTTTCTTACGCAATACCCTTCTCACTATAGCAATAACACTATATAGTCGTTTTGCTCTTTTTTTTAATATAGCATTATTGATAAGGTTTCTATTCAAAACTACGTCATCCAATTCCTGATAATCACAAGACGAACTGTAATAATTTATTGGTTTTCCTACAGAGATTTGAATAGTTGAAGAAATTTTAATAGTAGGGGCGTTCAATTTCGATGCAGCAGACTAAAATATTAAAAACTATATGTATACTATACAAGAAATCAAGGATGTCTTGATACAGTTAATACAAGTAACAGATTTCCTATGTGCAAAATAACTAAAATATAAAAAAAAACGTTTCTCTTCGTTTGAATAGATGTAACAAAGTTGTAAAATTTAACTTAAAGATAAAACAAAAGAAACTTTTCTTGCGTTTGATAGATCTAAACAAGAAAGTCCACTCCTCTCCCCTTACACGCACATGTTTTAATATAACAAAAAAAATTAGATTCAAAGAAAAAAGACCAAAATATAGGAATAAAATGCTTTGTTCTTTGAAGATCAATATATTTTTCAGCAATCAAATAATGATAAATTATTCTGTAGGATTAAATAATTAGTTCATTTTCAAAATTAAATGCTTATTCAAAGCCTATACTGTGCACTAACAATCGATGTCCTCCAACTGTTCAATTGCTTTGAAATCGAGACTATATACTTTAGGTAGCTTAAATAAGTTATGAATACTCTGAAAAGAGATGTTGTCGTTAGTTTATTACTATAAAGATACAACACGTTTATCGTATTTTTTACATAAATGCTGTGGTTCCCTTTATATGTGCGATATGAAAGACACACTATTACTATAGTTGTATTTTAGAATAGGAACAGCGACAAGATCTAAAACATTCGCAACGAAAATTATTTTTATTAAGGCCTGTCTCTATGGAAAGCTTCAAGTCGAAATTCGAAAATTAGCTTTTTCTAGTGTTCTTAAAGGAGATTACGATATTTATTTAGAAAAGCTGTTGGCGTAATCTCTGTGAAATTAAAATGCGAAATGTGATATAGCTGTTATTATTAATCATAGGGAGATTATTTTACTCTGTTTATCTTGAGACACATTTCCACATCCTCCTTTCACTTAACCATCTAGATATACAAATAAGAAAGTAGTTAATATATTGTAATGAGCATCTATGAATATGCAATCTGTGATGGTTTTTAACCAGCGTTTGTCACGTTCTATAGAAGAACGGAGAGATGGGTGCAAATTTGTATGGTATATACTTCAACACTCCTTTTAGATAGTGTTTTACAAAATACCATAAAAGTGGAGTGTCTTTGTAGCAATAAGCTAAGGGCAAGAACCCTTCTTAAAGTATTCATAGTTCATTTGAGCCTACATAGTACACATAGTCTTAACTTAAGATTGATTAAACAGTTAGAGGATTTCCCTCGTAAATGTTCAGTTAGAAAAGAGATCTATATGACCAAATACTAAGATATAACATGAATTAGATTTCGTTTTATGCTGGTTTTATTTAATTGATATCTTGCAATTATAATTATAAGCTCATAGATCATATATATAAATATAATTTTTTGAAAAACCAAGAAAGAGTCACACAACTGATATGAACAAATAATTTTGTATTGCTAAGTATTTGCCTTAATAGTAATAATTGTATCGAATAACTTTTTTAGAAATAAGTAAATAAATTATAACAGCAGTGAATGCAAGCATACTCAATATGGTAATTATGATATTAAACACTAACGCCAAATTACTCATTTTTCGAGCACCATTGATATCATTTTTTCTTTTTTTACTTTGACAAAGAAGAGAGAATATCAGAGGAATAAAACCAACTATTATACCTCCAATAAATAAACTAATGATAGACCATGGTAACCAATCCTGAATCTTGCGTATATCTGGTTGTACTGTTCGTGTCGGAGAATATTGATATGGATAATATTGATAAGTAGGAGGCACATATATAGGTGCAGATGCAGTTACAGGTGTTGGTGTAGGTTGTAGTACTGGTGCACTTGGAGATATTGGCACATGTTCAGTTTTAGATTCTGGTTTAGATGGATCAAGAGTATAAGCATTCATAGTAGTCATATTTCGATATGGTGAAAAAACTAAAAAATAATTCTCTTTACAAAATTTAAGTATGCAGTTATATATAAAAAACACCGAAGTGATTATCAATATCAAATTGCTTCCATACTCAAATATGAATCAGATATTTGATGGATAAATATACAGGTGAATAGTCAGATTTTTTTCACATTTCTCTTTATTTTTTTCGCCATATTATCGATGTTTTTCTAACGGTAACTTCCACAGTGATGATTTGAAGATATTTGCTGTTGGATTGAATTTTTATCCTCTTTTTGTCGCTAAAAAACGTTAAAAAAGAGACTCATCACATAGAGCATGATTAGAAAGATGATATTGCAAATAGTAATGACCTAGATAAGTTGAAAACAAAAGCTTTCTTTTATTTTATCTAACCTTCTGATCGATGCATGATTTATTCTAATATTGTCAGCAGTTTATATTAGATTTCATTACTATTGATTTTCTTATGTTGTTTTTTAGGACTAAGTAACTTAAACCATCGTTAGTGATGCGTCAGCTTTAGAAAGATTAATCAGAGGATTGAAAACAAGCCATGATATAGTAATGCATGTCATATTAGTTAAGAATGAAAGAAAATTGAAGCGCTTTTTCACATCAGATAATCAATGAAGAATAGTTAATTATTTTAATAATTATAAAATTTGCATAATCCATAATTTTCACTACACCTGCTACTATGTAAAAGGTTTTAAAGAAAAATATTTCGACTTCCACCGATTAGTTGAAATTTGTTTATCAGGTTTATAAAAGCAGTACCATTGTTTTTTTCAATAGGTTTATTCGTTTTACTTTGTCCTTCTACGCTACTTAAATATTGTTGATATCAAGAGCTTACTTAAGTTTCTATAAGACAAAAATATTTTTCTTCCATTATTAAATATTACATATTAATATTAAATTAGATGTGATAAAATCATGAAATGTGTATAAGAACTTTTGGTGTTGAATTTTTAGTCTAATTACAATGTAGTTATATATATCTCACAATGAATAATACGTCTATTTAGAACTACAGCGTCATGTTTAATTCATTTAATTTGTACAAACGTCTCTATTATAAGCACACATAGTGAATACTTCAATTTCTTCAACAAGATTTGTTTTTATATAAGAAAGTAAAAATTATTATCCACTTCCTAAAGAGAGGAACTCCAGAAAACCAAAGGGCTAGTTTTTTTAACACCTAGACTGCCTAAATATAGTTGTCTTTAAAATACATAGAACGTTAGACTAAGTAATTAAATCTAATAATGAAATTATTATTTTCTTACATTCTTGATCGAGATCATTTTTTCTATTCGATTTAATATTGGGATTCTTTCTAATACTAACGATAGTAGAAAAGAAAAACTGAAAAATTAACCTTGTTGAATAATTGTAGAATCAATTATATGTTCAAATCTTGTATTCAGCAAAAAATGTTCTATGGACATTGAAAACTTGAAAAGTGAAGTAATAGAAAAAATGTTGCTTTTAAATTTCAGAAATAAATTTGAATTATACTCGAAATATTAATCATCCGAACTTCTATATATGTCATTGATCGAAATTCAGGAGACAGATATCCTTGGAAGGAATCAAACTTGCAGATCATATAATTCGAAATACTTATCCAATAGTAGCTTGGCCTTACCGACTGGTAGACACAACTTTTTTTTTCTCTAACGGCTGATATGAGTTTTTTTTTTGAATTTTTGGATATTCTTTTCAAAAAATTAAGTATGAAAGTTTTTTTTTCTCGCAAATGAAACACTTTTCATTGGTGTCGAAAGCTATTTTTGTGAGAAAAAATGTATCAGACTATTTTATTTAGTCGATGTTCATCATTTATATGCAGATCATATATTATCAATCCGTTTTGCATATCCAATTATATTATCAAAACAAAATTGAATAAACATTTAGCATTGTAGTGCCGACCAGCGTGACCGTTGCTATCTATAGTAGTAAAGAAAAAAGTCCTATCAACTTCAACTCTACTATAATGTCTTGTCTATAATATACTTTATACTTAATAAAAACAAAAAAATAGTTAACATATTTTATTTTTTAGATAATTTATATTTTATTACCAAGAAAAAATAAAACAACAACTGTTCTACATTTACATATTAGTGTTATTTAATAGTTAGAATCAAATTATTTCAATGTCAACTGAAGTATTTAAACGAATATTGTAGATAAAGTCTATGTTTGTTACATGTCTTAAAGATAATAACATAATTTAACAATTATAAGAATTATTGAATATGAATAAAGATAATTAGCTTGATTTGTTGTTGTTATTGGACATGAAATATCAATAGAAGGTACTGATGTGACATTAATTTGAGTACAATTTCTTAATTGAGGATAATTTATCCATCTCGAAACAAGTTTATTATCACCATCAGTATCCTGTGTGTCACCATAGAAAGAAGCAATAGACTGTCGTAAGAAAAGTAATGTCTGTGCTCCATTCGTTATATCCGGTTCAAATTGACTACCTTCTGTCCAATCATCCCAAGTATAAATAAATAAATGTCGAACAGAATGTGATGAAAAATAATCAAGTTGAGCACGAATTAAATCAGGATTACGAGGAATAGTTCGTTGTTGACAAGCACCCCATGATTGAGTAAAATCATTAAAACCAACAGTTAAACCACCCATAATAATACGTCCTGATGAAATATTCGAAGATAGAATAGGATCATATACTAATTTTAACCATGCTATTGTTCGATTGTACAAAGGAAGACCATTATTTGTCATTGACCAAGCAACTAAATCAATCCAAGGAGCTACACCATCAAATACACTTAATAGACTTGTAGTTGTACAAATAGTATAAAAATCAAGCGTAATACGTTGACGAACATTCGACCAAATATATGACCATTCAGTAGATGTGAGTAAATTTCCTCCTATAGACGTATATATATAAATAAGAGGTTTTCCATTAATAAAATAATTTGAAGTTAAAGAAATATCCGAAATAATATCAACGAAATCAGCAATAGTTACATTTAAACAAGTATCTCGAAGATTACTCGAATTTGAATTATCACAACGACCAAGACCTAAATAATTTGAAAATGAATATAACCAAGAACTATCATAACCAGGTACAATAACACCAGATGAAAATTTTAGAATTTGAGTTCTTTGACGAAAATGTAGATATGCTTGATAGGGAATTTCAACATTTATCGATGGATTGTGTATATATCGTGATGAAAGTTGTATAGATTCAAGTTGAATTGACCAGGCAGTTAATTGTGCATGACCATGATCACAACTACCTTCTTTTCTTAATGTTGTTAACATAAGATCAATACGAGCAAGACTTTCATTGTCTAGTCCACTCGATGAATAAATACCAGCAAGTGGTCGATAATATGATGATATTTTTCTTTGTCCATCTAATCCACATTGATCCGGTTGAGCTGCAGAAACACATGCACCTTGACTACCAATATTCCAATGACTTGTATAAGCATCTGGCCCTCGTCCTTGAGGATCTGATGGACCGATACTAAACCAACTAACAGAAAACATACAGACAAAACGGGACGGCATTTTTGAAACAAGATCATACGTATGGATTACACTACCTTTGACAAAGTTCGTTTTTAGTAAAAATAAAAAACATATAAATGTAGAGAATTGCATATTGAAAATGACGCTGTGAGATAGAGTACAAATTCGTTGTTTTTTTTTATTAAAACTTTGACAATTTATTTATTTCAATCTTGTCTTGGTTCATAGAACGAAAAAAAAAAAGGTAATAAAAAATATTATGAAACCTCTTGAAGACTGAAAGTAAATAAGCAGTAATGTTTATTTTCACTGTTGAAATCAAATCTTAAGTAAAACATACTAACTACTCTAAAACTGTTACATTTGTTTCACTTATACGATAGATTAACAAGACTTATATCCTTATGTTTGCACAAGAATAATTGTAATTCTCATTTAGATGTTATAGATCAGGATAAAAAAAACAATCTATAGTCATAATGACTTGATGAGCAGATACATTTTTGTTTTATATCATCTTTTATTTATCTCTCAATTAAAAGTAACTAAACTGCATTATCAATTCATAAAAACAAAATCGATTGTCACATGGAGTGCAAATTAATTCCATGTATTATTGCAGTCACTTATTCATTTTAGTATGCGTGCGTCACAGCAGGTCCTGATTTTTTAAAAATCATCAGTGATTCGCTCTAGTTGTGGCAAATAATCCTGACTTTTTTCAATTTTTGGCACTCTTATGAACGAGCATTCAAAACCTAGAAAATCATAATTGTTCTCCAAACCTAGAATGAATAAGAATGATTTTTCAAAAGTCAGGAATTCAAGAAAATCATAACTTCTCGCGATGCATGAATATGTTTATTTGAAAAAAAAAACGTCTAATAATACTTGATTATATTATTTTAAAGAAAAATATCGAGCATTACAATAGCTTTTATAAATAAATAATAAACACAACCATCTAGGGTCGTTCTCTTCTAAATTATTTTATGACGACATTCGTATCATACTGAGAGAAAAAAACGCACGACAATTTTCTTTTTTAAGAGGACGTAATAGTATTCATTGAACATATATCAATATCATTAATGAAATACGAAGTATTGAGTATATGCCAATTTGAATAGCAATCATTCTGATCAAATTTATTTTAAAAAGTATTCAGTTAAAGATTAACTTTGATACAAGAAGCGGAAACACTGTACGTCATTAAACTTCAAGACTGGAATATCTGTTATTTTCCCATCCCCAGAGTGAAGAATTTCGAATTCGGACTCAACCAAGTCCTACAGAAAACTTCAGATAATCGAATAACTTTCGATGAAGTCCTGTCTGAAATCATTAGATTTCTTGAACAAGACTTAGATAGAATGTTGTGGAATCCGACAGGTGAATAACAACAGATGAATCAAGAATCGAACAAAATCCAGTTGTTTTTTTCCGAATAAAAC